GTCTATTCCATTCATTCCCTAACCTACATATAAATATCCAAACATTATAGAACGGTTTTACAAGGTTGATTATTATGAGAAACACATTCCATTGAGATGATCTTCATATATTGTGCTTTCAACCTTCGTCCTGGTAAGGAGGTTGTGGAAATCCTCGAAACTAAGGGAGTTATCGGAAGGAGTTTGTGAAGTCTCCATTTACAACGAACTACGGTCGTTGTGGAGAGTTCTTGAGAAGTGTAGCAAAGAAGCAAGATGATGAATAGTGATCTTTATAGAGAAGCATGATGTAAAGACGTGAATGTAATGGCGGACAAAATGGCGTGTCTTTTAGGTTATAGGGGTATGTAACGTTGCACTTTTCAGGTTGTAGAAGGGTTACCGCCAAACAGAAATAATGATTGAAATTATTTGCCCTTTTGGGAATTTCAAGTATTGCCGAAAAATAGAAAGGAAGAATATGGCAAAAATTAATAATTGATATTAATTCTACCATATTGGGGGATAATTGTTGACATACAAAAAATGAAACTCAATTAAATGGTCCAAGAATTGGAGCACAGTTAGGGAGTTCAAGATATAGGACCAAATGAGACCATTGTAGAACATAGCAGAGGTCCATAAACAAAGTACTATCATCGCCCAAGCCTGCAGGATGTCCAGAATCTAAGCGAATGAAGTGCTTTACTGTCGCCTAGAACGATGATTCCATTCTCGCTCAAGCCTTTGAGTCGCTCAAGATTTGAGCTAATAGTGTCATGTGGTTACTTAAAGCAACAGTTATTGAAGCAGTTATTGAGCAACCTCATCACTCCCCACGATCCAAGAATCTTGGTTACAAATAGTTAAATAACAAAAGCAATAGCAACGCAAACGACAGTTCCTTGACAAGTCAACCAACACGAAGAAAGTGGGTAGTTATAGAGCGCCAGCAATTTTCAGGCAGTTCTACAGAGAAAACCGTCAAAAGAGTATAAAAAAGGAAAAGAAGACATAGAAGGAGGACCCCGAATCAATCACTCTCAACAGAGAATATGTAATTTCAATTCATTTATTTTCTAAGTGTAAACTTTCAATTTACTTCGTATGCTTGTGCCCCTTGGAGGCGTTTTGCTTCTTCCCAATTGTAATCTTCATAAATAAAGCACCCTTTTTTAGGACTTTGTCTGAAGAGGTTTGTTCCTTACATAATCGTTTGAACCTATTTTTTAATTGTTAGCGATACCCCGCATGAAACAGAGTCCCTCAATATTTTAATGCATGTCACAGTTTAGGTCATTTTTAACACCTAAAGTTATCAGATTTCTTTGAAGGTCAGGAACATACCCAGTCTTTTCTAAGATTAGTTGATTATTATCCTTTACTCTTAAAGTGATAGTTCATATTCCCTTAACTTAATATGTCATATGATTACCCATTAAAACTTGATCACCATTTTTATTTTCAAAATCAGCAAACCACTCTTTATTAGGACACGTGTGAAAAGTACAACCTGAGTCAAGAATCTATTCTTGATTAGGTTGATAGGTAACATCAACATAAACTTCATCAATATTAGCCTCATTGTTGTAGGCTAAAGCTGCATCGCCATCAATTTTAGACTTGTTTCTATAATCACTAAGTCTTTTATGACA